GAGGAGCACAGAGACAGGGTTGGGCATCCCCAAGGTGCTCTTCAGGGCCTCAAGGACTCCAGCCCGAAATACAGTGGCCCTGCCAGGGGACCTTGGGATCCCAGCATCCTCTTCCAAAATTCTCACCTAGGCTGGGCCTCAGCGTAATCCTATTGAGCATGATTTTTAAGTCATCACCTCTCTTCAAGACAATATAAGGTTCTCATCATTGACCCAACTCAGGGCACCACCTCCCCACACATGCATCCAGCGGGACCCGGATGTGCTCACCACAGCTCAGTGCAGGAGACCAGAGCGACAGGAAAGGCCTGAGCTTCAGCGCTCCAGGGGCTGGGCACCTGACTGACGACCACTCGCCCTGCGATAGTGGGCCCAACGACAGTTTTCCTCTGGTCTCACCATCTAGGGGACAGGAGGTGGACCTGTGTCCAAATGGAACCTCACGCCTACAAGCGGGAAGGGAGTGGGGGATGCCAGCTCACGACTGCTCTCCCACCATGGACCTATGTGATGGGATCCATGTGAAACACTGATGTGTCATGGATGCAGGGGAACCTTGGCCCTCCCCACGACTGAACCCTGGAAGGACAGGGCAGGTGGGTCACTGGACTCGGGCAAGACACCCTAGCTACGCCCTATTGCAGGCACATTGAGCACCTCCACTGCCCACGCTAGCTGCCTCTCACAATTCCAGGGCTGTATTGGCCCCTGGGGTGCAGGCCAGGGCCACCTACCCTCTCATAGGCAACCAAGGAGGTTGGCCCGGATGCCATGAACTGCCGATCTGGCAGTTGCATAGTCTGCCCCTGTGTGTGGAGGGTGAGAACCCAGGCTCCGCTCCACACCACACCGGAAATCGCAGCCTGGGGCGCCAGGGCCTCGTGTGTTCTCTGGTGAGTCCCCATCCATGGCCACACAACACCTCCCACACACAGAGCGGGGCCACACTCAGTCAATCAGGGGACACCTGGTGTCTTCTCCTTTACTTGGACCCAAGATCCCGCCCCCCTAGAGGTGACCCCATGGCTCAGATGCAGCCTGGACCACAAATTTCCAGGACAGGTCCTTCCACAGCAGGTCTCCCCACCTCAGGAGGACAGCCTTCCTGTCACTGCCGACAAAGAAGGGGTGACCCCCAGTGGTACATGGACTGTACCCTTGGCCCAAAGCCCACCAATTCCAGGCCAGAATGCAGCACCCTCAGGTGCCAGCTAGAGCTAGTCTTGACACACCCTTAGGGAAACAGTGCCGCCCTACACTTGGCTCAAAGAGGCACCACTGGGATGGCCCATAGCTTAATAGGATCAGTCCCACTCAGGGCCATAGGTTTGGAGAGATCCTTGCAAATCCGAAGCCCAACCCCATGGGCAGAATCGCACACACCTCTCCAAGGTCAGAGGGCCCCTGCAAGACCCCCTTGGCACCCAAGAGCCCTTGTGGCCACCTGCATGTGGCCTGGTTGTCCTAGAGGCCTGACCCGAGCCTGAGTCTTAGCGGGGCACTGCCCCGCATGGGGCTGAGGAAACCCTTTACTGTCTGGACCACTGCAACCCCTGCAGGGCTTCAGGGAAGGTATCCTCCTTGGGTCTGATTCCCAAGGAAGCCGCCCGTCTGGAGAACCCATTCCAAGTGGGGATTCAGGACAGCTCCTGAGAAAACTCTTGCAGCTGAAGGCTGATGCTCAGCAACCCCACGCAGCCTGGCTTATGGGCCATGACCCCAGCAGGATCCACTCACCTATGCTGGTCAATGCCAGGGGGTCTGCTAGGCAGAAGAGCTCACTGAAAGACACAGGGGAGAATGGGGGCTCAGGAAGGAGCCACCAAAGTACCCTGCCCCCAGGTAAGGGGAGGGCCGACACCAAGCCCACATAGTGAGCCTGGCTGCCTCACGGAGGAGCTCAGAGACAGGGTTGGGCACCCTCCAGATGCCCTCAGAGCCTCCAGGTCTCCAGCCCAAAATACAGTGCTCCTGCCGGGGAACTTGTAATTCCCAGAATCCTCCTCCAAAATTCTCACCCAGGCTGGGCCTCAGCGTAATCCTATTGAGCATGATTTTTAAGTCATCACCTCTCTTCAGACAATACAAGGTTCTCATCATCGACCCAACCCAGGGCACCCCCTCCCCACACACGCATCCAGTGGGACCCTAATGTGCTCACCAAGTTCAATGCAGGAGACCAGGGCCCGGTAGGGCGCAAGCTTCAGCTCACCAGGGGCTGGGCACCTGGCTGATGGCCACTGGCCTGGGGCTAGCAGGCGCAACGCAAGTCTTCCTCTCTGGTCACCATCTGGAGGGACAGGGGACAGGTATCCAAACAGGGCCTCAAGCCTCCATGCGGGAAAGCAGGGAGTGGGGGCTGGCTCACACATGTTCTCCCTCCATGGACCCATGTGATGGCATCCATATGAGATAATGATGGTCATGGACCCAGGGAACCCTTGGTCCTCTCCACCACTGAACCCTTGAAGGACAAGGTAGGCAGGTCACGGGGCTTGGGTAAGATGCCCAGGCTGTGCTGTACAGCAGGCCCCTGGAGCACCTTCACCGCTCACAGTGGCTCCACTGCACGACTCTAGACCACAACAGAAACCTAGGGCAGGGACCAAGGCCGCCAACTAGCTCACAGCCAACCAAGGAGGCAGGCCCAGAAGCCAGGCGCTGCTGCCAACCTGGCAGTCCCACAGCCTGCCCCTGTGTGCGGAGAATGTCTGCCCAGGATCCTTCTCCAAGCGCACACCAGAAATCGCAGCCTGGGTCCAGGGCCACGTGCTTTGTCTGCTGGGTCCTCATCCACACCCCAGACACCTGCCAAACACAGAGCTGGGCCACACTCAGCCAATCAGGAGCCACGTGGTACCCTCTCCTTTCCTTGGACCCAAGACCCCGCCACCCTGGAAGTGACCCCATGGCTCAGAAGCAGCCTGGGCCACAAATTCCTGGGACAGGTCCCTCATGAGGGTGCCTTCCAACCTCGGGATGCGACCCTTCCAGTCACTTACCTCGAAGAAGGGGTGACCCCCAGCAGCAGACGGGCTGCACCCTTGACTCAAAGCCCATGAGTCCCAGGGCCAGCCTGCAGCACCACAAAGCACCAGCCACGGCTCAGCCTTGACTCAACCAGTTGAAGCTGAACCGCCACCCATCAGGCTCAAGAAGGAGCTACTGGTGTGGCCCATTGCTCAACAGGGTCATTCACATTCAGGGCCATGAGTGGGGCACGATCCTTGAATCTCCACAGACCCATCCCATGGGCCCAATCGCCCACCCATTTCCAGGGACGGCGAGCCCCCGAGTGATCCCCGTGGCACCCCAGAGCCTCTGCTGTCCCGCTCATTTGTCCTGGGCAGTCCTCGAGGACAGACTCGCAAACCGAGTGTCAGCTTGGAGCTGCCCTGCATGAGACTGAAGGAACCCTTTCCAGACTGGACCACCGTCACCCCTGCAGGGCTTCAGGGAAGGCATCGTCTTGGGTCTGATTCCCCAGAAAGCTGCTTTCCTAGAGGACAAACCCATCTCTCCACAGGTGGGGATTAAGGTCCCTGAGGAAACCCTCCTGCCTGAAGGCTAATACTTGGTGACCCCATGCAGCCTGGCACATGGCCCACGACCCCAACAGGATCCACTCACCTATGCTGGTCAATGCCAGGGTGCCCGCCTGGGTGGAAGAACTCACTAAAAGACACAGGGGAGAATGGCGGTCAGGGAGGAGCCGCCCATGTGCGTCGCTCCTGGGGAACAGGAGGGCTATCACCAAGCCCACACAGGGAGCCAGGACTGCCTCATGGAGGAGCACAGAGACAGGGTTGGACCCCCCAGATGCCCTTCAGGACTTCCAGGTCTCCAGCCCAAAATACAATGGCTCTTCCAGGGAACCTCGGGATCCCAGTGTCCTCTTCTAAAACCCTCACCTAGACTGGGCCTCAGCGTAATCCTATTGAGCATGATTTTTAAGTCATCACCTCTCTTCAGGACAATATAAGGTTCTCATCATCGACCCAACTCAGGGCACCACCTCCCAGTGCATGCATCCAGCAGGACCCGGATGTGCTCACCACAGCTCAGTGCAGGACACCAGGGTGCCAGGAAGTATTGAATGTTCAGTGCACCAGGGGCTGGACACCTAGCTGATGGACACTGGCCTGGGGCCATTGGGCCCAATTCAAGTCTTCCTCCAGCCTCAACATCTGGGGAAACAGGAGTAGGACAGGTGTCCAAACACAACCTCATCCCTCCATGGAGGCAGAAGGTGGGGTGTGGCGGCTCAGGGATGCTTGCCTTCCATGGACCCATGTGATGGGATCCATGCAGACCACTGGCTCGTCTCGGACACAGGGCACCCAATGCTCTCTCAACACTGAACCCTGGAAAGACAGGGCAGGCGGGTCACTGGGTGTGGGCAAGAAGATCGGTTGTGTCCTACTACAGGTCCCATGAGCACCTCCACTGCCCATGCCAGCTTCCCTGCACGACCCCAGGATCATGCCAGAACTACTGGGCACAGACTAGGGCCATCAACCAGCTCACAGCCAACCAAGGATGCTGGCCCAGATGCCAGGTGCCACTGCAAAGCTGACAGTCACATAGCCTGCCCCTGTGCATTGTGGGCACCCACCCAGGCACCCTATCCCAGCATGAAATGGAAATCGCAACCTGGGGTCCCAGGGCCACATGCTTTCTCTGGTGGGTGCTCATCCATGCCCCACGCACCTCCTAAACACAGAGCAGGGCCACACTCGGCTAATCGGGGGACACATGGTGACTTCTCCTTTCCTTGGGTCCATGACCCGCTAACCTGGAGGTGACCCCGTGGCTCAGAAGCAGCATGGGCAGCATATTCCAGGGCTAAGACCCTTGACAGCAGGCCTTCCACCTCAGGAGGCCACCCTTCCTGACTCTTGCCAACAGGGAAGGGGTCATTTCCAGCCACAGGGAAGGGGAGATCCCCAGCAGGGCATGGACTGACCCTTTGGCCTAAAGCTGACGAGTCCATGGCTGAACTGTAGCACCACCAGGCACTGGCGAGAGCTCAGCCTTAACCCAAACCTAGGGAAATAGCACCGCCCCATCCAGGCCCAAACAGGTACCATGGGATGGCACATAGATCAACAGGGTCGGTCCCATTCAGGGCAGTAAGTCCTGTGCGATCCTTAAATCTCTGCAGCTCAACTCCATGGGCCCTATGCCCACCTTTCTCCAGGTATGGGGAGCTCCTGTATGACCCCATTGTGTCCCGAAGCCCCTGTGGCCTCCCTCATGTGGCCTGGTCAGTCCTCAAGGCCAGACCAGTGCACTGAGACTCAGCTGGGAGCTGCCCTGCTTGAGACTGAAGGAACCCTTTCCTGCCTGGACCACCGTCATCCCCGCAGGGCTGCAGGGAAGGCATCCTACTTGGGTCCGATTCCCAAAAAATCAGCCCTCCTGGAGGACCAATCCACCCCTCCCTGGTGCGGATTCAGGTTGGTTGCCTGTGGAAACCTTCCTGTCTCAAAAGCTGACCCTCGGTGACCCCACGCTGCCTGACTGATGACCCATGACCCCAGCAGGACCACTCACCTATGCTGGTCAGTGCCTGGGGGCTGCACCTGGGTGGAAGAGCTCACTGAAAGACACAAGGGAGAATGGGGGTTGTCAGAACCGGAGCACCAATACCAAGCCCACACGGGGAGCCTGGGCTGCCTCACAGAGGAGCACAGAGAAGGGGTCGGATCCCTATGAAATTCCATTCAGGGCCTCAAGGTCTCTAACCCAAAATACACTGGCCATTCCGGGGAACTCCGGATCCCAGCATCTTCTTCCAAAATTCTCACCTAGGCTGGGCCTCAGCGTAATCCTATTGAGCATGATTTTTAAGTCATCACCTCTCTTCAGGACAATATAAGGTTCTCATCATCGACCCGACCCAGGGCACTGCCCCCAGGGTACCGCCCCCCAACCGCCCGCCACTCATGCATCCAGTGGGGCACAGATGGGCTCACCGCAGCTCAGTGCAGCAGACCAGGATGCCAGGAAGGACCTGAGCTTCAGCTCACCAGGGGCTGAGCACCTGGCTGAGAGACACTGGGCCAGAGCCAGCAGGCCCAATGTAAGTCTTCCTCTGGGGTCACCATCTGGAGGGGTGGGGGACAGGTGTCCAAACAGAGCCTCATGTCTCCATGCAGGAAAGTGGGCAGGGTGGGGCTGGCTCACACATGCTCTTCCTCCATGGACTCATGAGATGAGATCCATGTAAAACCGTGATGGTCACAAACGCAAAGAACCCTTGGCCACTGAACCCTGCAATGACAGGGCAGGCGGGTCACAGGGTTGGAGCACAACGCCCAGGCTGCACCCTACTGCAGGACCCTGGAGAACCTCCACTGCCCACGCAAAATCCCCTGCTCGACTCTGGGCTGCACCGGGACCACTGGGCAGGGCCACGGCCACCAACCAGCTCACAACAAACCAAGGAGGCTAGCCTGGATGCCACGTGCCACTGCAGACCTGGTAGTTACGTGGCCTGCCCCTGGGCATGAAATGAACCCGTCCAGGCACCCTCTATAAGCTCACATCAGAAATTGCATCCTGGGTCCCCAGGGCCACGTGCCTTCTCTGGGGGGTCCCCATTCATACACCGCACACCTCCCAAACACAGAGCTGGGCCACGCTCGGCCAATCAGAGGCCATGTGATGTCCTCTCCTTTCCTTCGGCTCAAGACCCCACCACCCTGGAGGTGACTCCATGGCTCAGAAGTAGCCTGGGCATCAAATTGCCGGGACAGGACCCTTAACAGTGGGCCTTCCACCACAGGATGCCACCCTTCCAGCTATTCCACTTCAGGTAGCGGTGACCTCCAATGGGACTCAGGCTGCACCCTTGGCCCAAAGCCCAAGATTCCCAGGGCCAACCACCAGGTGCTGGCCAGAGCTCAGTCTTGACTCAAACCCACTGAGGCCACACCGCCCCTACCATGCTCAAGGAGGCACCACTGGGATGGCCCATTGCTCCACAGGTCAGTCCCATGAGGGCCATGGGTTGGGCCCAGTGCTTGAATCTTCATGGCCTGACTCCATAAGCTCGATCACCCACACCCTACCCCGCTGCAAGCCTCAGGGACAGAGAGCTCCTGCATAACACCTGTGGCCCCCGGAGACCCAGGGGACCCCATCATGTGGCCTTGGAAGTGCTCCAGGCCTAAGCCGTGCCCCAAGTCTCAGGAGCTGCACTGCATTGGGTTGAAGGAACCCTCTCCTGCCTGGACCTCCGTTACCCCTGCAGGGTTTCAGGGAAGGCGTCCTTCTGGGATCAGTTTCCAAGGAAGCCGCCCTCCTGGAGAAACCAGCCATCCCTGGTGGGGATTCAGGTCAGCTCCCTAAGGAAACCCTCGTGGCCTGAAGGGTGACCCTCAGCAATCCCCTGCAGCCTGGCTCATGGCCCGTAACCCCAGCAAGATCCACTCACCTATGCTGCTCAAGGCCAGGGGCTCACCTGGGCAGAAGAGCTCACTGAAAGACAGAGGAGAAAAGGGGCTCAGGGAGGAGCCCCCAATGTGCCCTGCCCCCAGGGAACCAGAGTGCCAACACCAAGCCTGCACAAGCAGCCTGGGCTGCCACACAGAGGAGAGCAGAGACAGGGTTGGGCATCCCGGAGGTGTCCTTCAGGGCCTCAAGGACTCCAGCCCAAAATACAGTGGCCCTGCCAGGGGACCTTGGGATCCCAACATCCTCTTCCAAAATTCTCACCTAGGCTGGGCCTCAGCGTAATCCTATTGAGCATGATTTTTAAGTCATCACCTGTCTTCAGGACAATATAAGGTTCTCATCATTGACCCAACTCAAGGGACCCCCCCTCCCCACGCATGCATCCAGCGGGACCCGGATGTGCTCACCACAGCTCAGTGCAGGAGACCAGGGCACCAGGAAGGGCCTGAGCTTCAGTGCACTGGGGGCTGGGGACCTGACTGATGACTACTCGCCACGGGACAGTGGGCCCAACGACAGTTTTCCTCTGGTCTCACCATCTGGGGGACAGGATGTGTACATGTATCCAAATGGAACCTCACGCCTCCACACGGGAAGGGGGTGGGGGGTGCCAGCTCATGATTGCTCTCCCACCATGGACCCATGTGATGGGATCCATGTGAAACACTGACATGTCATGGACGTGGGGGAACCTTGGCCCTCCCCACCACTGAACCCTGGAAGGACAGGGCAGGCAGGTCACTGGGCTCAGGCAAGACACCCTGGCTATCTGCAGGCACCTTGAGAACTCCACTGCCCACTCCAGTTGCTTCGCATGACCCCAGGGCTGTACTGGCCCCCTGGGTGTAGGCCAGGGCCACCTACCATCTCATAGCCAACTAAGGAGGCTGGCCTGCATGCCATGCACCTCTGCCCATCTGGCAGTTGCATAGTCTGCCCCTGTGTGTGGAGGGTGAGTATCCAGGCCCCACTCCACACCACACCAGAAATTGCAGCCTGGGGACCCAGGGCCTCGTGTGTTCTCTGATACATCCCCATCCATGCCTCACACAACACCTCCCATACACAGAGCGGGGCCACACTCAGCCAATCGGGGAATGCATGGTGTCTTCTTCTCCTTTCCTTGACCCCACCACCCTGTAGGTGGCCCCATAGATCAGAAGCAGCCTGGACAGTTCCTTCCACAGCAGGCCTTCCCACCTCAGGAGGATCCCTTCCCACTACTCACCCACAAGGAAGGTATGACCCCCAGTGGGACATGGGCTGTATGCTTGGCCCAAAGCCCACGAGTCCCAGGGCCAGACTGCAGTACCATCATGGGGTCACTGGAGCTAGCCTTGACCCAACCTCATGGAAACAGCGCCACCCCACACTTGGCTCAAAGATGCACCGCTGGGATGGCGCATAGCTTAATAGGGTCACTCCCATTCAGGGCCATGGGTTTAGAGAGACCCTTGAAAATCAGAAGCCTGATCCCGTGGACCAAATCACACACACACCTCTCCAAGGTCGGAGAGCCCCTGCAAGACCCCCTTGGTACTCCAGAGCCCTTGTGGTCCCCCTCATGTGGCCTGGCCATCCTAGAGGCCTGACGTGAGCACCGAGTCTCAGCTGGGTGCTGCCCTGCATGGGGTTGAGGAAACCCTTTACTGCCTGGACTATCGCAACCCCTGCAGGGCTTCAGGGAAGGTATCTCCTTGGGTCCAATTCCTAAGAAAGCTGCCTTCCTGGAGAACCCATCCCAGGTGGGGATACACTTCAGCTCCTGAGGAAACCCTTGTGGCCAAAGGATGACTCTTGGAGACCCCACACAGCCTGGCTCATGGGCCATGACCCCAGCAGGATCTACTCACCTATGCTGGTCAATGCCAGGGGGTCTCCTGGGCAGAAGAGCTCACTGAAAGACACGGGGGAGAATGGGGGCTCAGGAAGGAACCACCAAACTGCCCCGCACCTGGGTGACAGGAGCGCTGACACCAAGCCCACATAGTAAGCCTGGGCTGCCTCACAGAGGAGTGCAGAAACAGGGTTGGGCACCCTCCAGATGCCCTCAGAGCCTCCAGGTCTCCAGCCCAAAATACAGTGGTCCTGCCAGGTAAATCATAATTCCCAGCATCCTCTTCCAAAACTCTCCCCTAGGCTGGGCCTCAGCGTAATCCTATTGAGCATGATTTTTATGTCATCACCTCTCTTCAGACAATATAAGGTTCTCATCATCGACCCAACCCAGGG